TCAGTGAGGTCATCGTCGGACCTTAAATATTCCCCGGCGTGACGCTTCACTTTCATGCGCGCGACGCTTTCGAGAGTCTTGAAAAATCGAGCGAGCCGAGAGGTGCGATCTGGTTTCAACGTTCTTTACGTAACATTGTCGACGGGCTCGAGCTGGAGAGATCCGTTTTTGGAATTACCCGTGAAATGGCAGACGGAACGTTGTTTTATTTCAGGAAATGATCGAAATGCCAGTATCCGGCTGGAATTAATTTAATCTCCGTTTCGTTTTAACTTGGTGCGTGTCGCCGATTTTATTTTTATTTTATTCTTTGCTTTTAATTTTATTCCTATCTTGCCTCATCGTGTATTACCATTTCTGATTCGTTGAACTTTGGGATGGAATTTTAAAGATGTTCCTCGACGATATCACGAATAAAGAAAGACTTTCACCCACATGATCGCTCGTCTAATCGCGGTCAATCAGAACTGAAGCTACACCCTAATCGTAACTTATGATTACCGCATAACGTAACATCGGAGAAAACGCATTAACAATACGAACGACAGCGTTAAAGAGCGCCAGCTATTTAGCAACATAGCGGCGAGGTGGATTCGAAGAGATGTTAAATGTTGGTTGGGCGATTGTCGTTTCGTTAGAAGGAATACCCGCATAAGCGAGTTTATGGTCGCGCTGTAATAACACGCACGTTCGCCGTAGACGCCGTAGACATTTGCATCCGCTGTGCTGGTTGAACGGTCTTCATTCTCGTACTTCGAGGCACATTCCTGTCTTTAAGTGGCAACTTTATTTTCTTGGGAATCGCCAAACCGAAATAAGCAGGAACGTAATTGAGTCCAAAATTATACGACTTTTCCATTTTGGGATTGTCTCATTTTATATGTAATTTTTTCTTTCATTCAGGGCATTGTTATTTGTCGGCTTTCTACTCGGCGAGATTTAACTGAGGCTTTTTCTTTACGGGAAAACTCGTTCCGCGGGAAACGCGAATCTTACGAGAACATGGATGCGAACGCGGGTAAACATCGTGACTAATAAATCGCGATATGACTCGCGAAGGTGGCACAACCGTACGCTATCGTGAGAGTTCTACGAGTCAGTGGAAACGCACTTGGTCCCCGGTATGGTCGGACAAGCCTTGGTGTGTGTTGGTGAAGGTTAGCATGGGTTCTTGCTCGATGTCTCGCGACCCGATTTGTACGTCTGCTTGAACGTTGTCACTTCTTCCCGTATATTATTAATAAATAAATTAATAAATAAATAATTCTCGCAAAGTCCCGTGCCGATTATTCCGATGATATATTTCATCGCCTCCCATCTTTTCAGACTAAGGTAAAAGGAGCATAATCGTGTATCGTGTCAGGTTTTAATCGCAATCAAAAGTTGATTGAAGGAGATGAAGCGAATAAAGATAAATAACAGTCGTGTGGAACATCTGTGAAAAAAAAAAAGAGAGAAGACACGAACAGAGATGTGTTAGCTGATTACGGCAAATAGTGTTGAACTTGGTGCCGAAGTAAAGTTCACACTTGAAGTGAAATTTGCAGTGAAATCTCTTGAAATTATTTATTCCCTTAAGTATTTATAATTACTTTCTTATATTTTCTTCGTCAAGAATCTTAGAATTTCTCCGTTTTGCATCTCTCAGATAAATACGTCACGTGTATCATTTTGTCTTTTTAAGAAAGCAAAGTTGTTCGATCATCGAGATAATTATAATTCGTAGCATTCGTTTACGCTACTTCTCCAAGTGGCGCGACTTCTCCGACGCGGAGCGTGCCGCTTGTGTCTTCGAAGAGGGTTTAAATCGAGGCTCCCATTGTGAAGTCTAACCACCGGTTTTTGCGGAGCGTCTGCGTCCTGGTTATGCGACCGCCAGGTGCAACGTATTAATATGGACTGCGTCCTGCGAGTTTGCGATCATGTGTCGCCGCTTTACTTTGCCGCGCCGCGAATGAAGTTTGTTCTTGTCGTCCGCGAGCGTGCGGACGAGCACGTTTACCCGTGCCGAGTACCGTTTCTACTCGGAGAGGGATCGACCGTAGAGCGTAATCTTTTGCGAATGGTAAAAATATCGCGAGAATCTATCGTACCGTATCGATCGAGCGGGAACACGAGGTGGGAAAGAGAGGGAGAGGTTTTACGAGGCCAAAGCGGCTATTCCTGGCATGTGTGGACTGTCCGCATTTATTTTTCCGGTAGCTGCCGAGGCGTACAATGGCGAGAGCTGTCCCGACTATTCCGACTATCCGGGCTTTCCCAATGATATTGGAAAATAGGAAATGTGTGTTCGAGCCACGTAGCTCGGCAAATTCCGCCGATTCAACGTTGGAGAATCGCGGAAACGCTTGCGGTATATTAAAGAGGGATTAAATGAAGTAACTTTATTGATATAAAATTTAAAATAGCTAAATTAAGTGGATTGCAGTAGGCAGGTGTTTTTGTATAACTTGTTACAATTGCGCAATTTGTAACTTTATGAGATGATAAAGCGGAGAAAGATACATTCAGTATAAGTGATGCTTTCAACGAAGTCGAAGAAGCGCTGGAAGCAAAGGAGCAGCAATTATTCGCAAACCGCACGCGCTTCCTGCCTTCGATTAGTTATTCCGCGAAAAATTAATCACACGTCAGATACGACGTGCATATCTGCAAAATCAACATAAATCGCGATACATACGTATTTATATACATACAAGTTCAATTACGAGCTCAAGAACAGGGAAGAAACTCATCCACTTATCAATGTTCCGCTTGTATCTTCGGCTGTTCGTTGTACCGTTCAATCCCGATAAATTAGTAATCAGCGACATTATTAGTAAATGTATCTTGTAAGAATAATAATAAAGATTGTATATCTCATACATCTCTCACGAATTTCTACAAATGTTGGAAATGTCACGAAGCAATTTCTCGCGAAAGTGTAATTCACGAATATGAATGAGTCATATCGGTAGTAATTATTTTCTCGACCGCCACGAATGCTTTTTCGATTCTCCATGACACTTTGCGCGATTCGTAAAACCACGATTAGAAACAGCTAGACGCGTCTTCGCGGGATGCGCATCGCCGAGCCGCGGATTAAATTGCAATCGCGCGGCTCGATTGCAACTATTTGCACGCGCGACTAATTGGAGTCTTTAGCATTCAGCGCGATGCTTCGTGGGTATCGTGCAGATGCAAAACATCCTCACGCCTCCGCCACACAGCCGCCTCCTCTCTCACTCTCTCTCTCTCTCTCTCTCTCTCTGTCTCTCTCTCTCTCTCTTTTCCTCTTGTTGCATTCTACGACCACGCTCGAACACACATCCTCATAATCGTGTCGCAACTATTACCCGCCACACGGATCGTCACACCACCGGCTTTCTTCGGCAATTACCGGCATGGAAGAGGAACCTGACAAAAGGCCGCCACCATGAGGCTTCTACGAGGGACTTTCTTGAGATTATGGACTTTCTACTTACGTATAAATCCCGACCACTATCGAGAACGATCGTGGATAGTGATATGGATATAGTGCCGCCATATCAGATATCTTCATCGATACGCACTCGACGATTATTGCCGCGAGTCATTTTACTTTGCATTGGATATTTCCGGATAAGTTGATAGTTCTGATATCGCTCATGCAACGCTACATACACATGTGAATAAAACGTTCGATTTAATATACGACGGACATTTTGTTTTCTCGTGTGCGTATCCGTTTTTAAGTATACATTGATATATTTTAATTTCGAAGAAGAAGCTGCATAGAACTTTCCAAAGTTACTTGTGACGACATTACGAAGTTGCGTGATGTGACTGTTATAATCACTATCCCAAATATTCTTATCGATACATCGTTGCGAAAGAGAGACAAGCTCGACAGAAGTGAGTTATTATGTGAAATTCACTTTACGAGACTGCAACAAAAGGCACTTTGTTACACATAGTGAGGTAACTTATTATAGCACAGTCGCTCTAAAGAGAAAGGAGTGGTTCGCGTATGCAAGATCTGCCGCGCCGAACGTAACGCCGCAATTTCGCATCTCTCAGAACGGCCGTTTCGCGCGAATCGCGGGGAATTGTATCTCTCTTTGATGTAAACCGCGTTGCGTGCTGCGGAGTTAATAACAGAGTAACGATTTAACATCTGCGTACGGCCGAACACGAAGGTGCGTGCAGCGCTTTCTCCGCGACATATTAGAAAGCGTATTTATAATTCATCTCTTTCTCGGAGCGAGCGCGCGGCGTGTATCGACGTGCCGGCAGTCGCTCGACGGAGCGTGGAGAGCCGATCGTTAATTTCGGAATTATCTCGCACTCGGGGGGATTAGCGCGAACACGTATCGCGGAACATTTTTATTCCGAATTATTTATTGCGTCCTTGAGCGTATAAGGCTAGCTTCGCGACGGATCCTTGATTCCACGAATGCCACGGATCGTTCTCTATTTGTTTAAGAAGCCGTGGATCTCCGCGGCCGCATATCTTCGGCTCCGCGGAACGAACGTTCGTAAACCTGTCGCATCGCTGGATCGCCGATTTCGCAACCGCGCGGGTTCCACGTTCAATGAATTCCGAGATCCGACGAGATCTCCGGCTTCTCGGATTCGAATCGCAGGATCCGTGCGTGCTCTCCTTCAACTCTCCACGCATCATCACCGAGTCATTTATCGTCGCCTGAGAAAAATCGTTCGCCACGTGCCAGTTTGCTTCGTAAACGCGCGGACTCTTCATGAGAAGAAATTCGATCGTTGATCGAACCGATCAACTCGGAAAGTCGATTCTCCCTTGATGTAACGAGATGTAACGAATTACAACAAATTGTGACTCTCTCTGGTCCTCGATCGAGCTCTCCTGAGCAGCAGAGGCCCGAAGTGAGTATCGAATACTCGCGTATTTTCAGAGCTGATTAATATCTGCCTTTACCGCATTTGCGGGACACGCTTTACCCGACACGTTACATTCCGACCACGTTTCCAGCCCACGAGCCGGCTTAGCCTGGCGTTCAACTCACCAGCGCCTATCCAGAGGCACAACGCCGCCGTCACGACAGGCCACCAGGCGGACATCGCGCTACATCGATCCACGACGATCCGCGAGAAATCCCAGCATCACTCCACTCGACACGTCCCATCCGATGCCGCCGGATTTCCTCACTCGCCGATTCTCACAGCTGTCCCGATGTGTATTCCGACGAGATTCGCACTCCACTTGTCCCCCCGGGCGAAGCAACCGATCCCGACGATCGTCTCCTTCAGGTTCGACCTCCACCACTCATCCGAGGTAAATTAATGCCGATCGACGAGCGGACACATAAAAACGGTACTCTCGAGAGAGGAAATCCGACACTCGACCGCGACCGACAGCGACTTGACAGCGAGAGATCGGTCAACACACGACGCGAAGCTGGTAAAACAGCGCCGGCAATAGCTGAGAATAGCTGACCGCGAGATGACTATCCTTGAACCAGCCGCGTGTCATTTATCACAACACGACGCTTATCACCGTTAACGTGCTCCTCGTGCATCGCGCGCGGCCGTCTCGATCCCGGTTGCTCCTCTCTGTGCATCTTCTCCGTGACGGCTATTCGCGACACTCCGCTGCGCTTTCACTGGCGAACAGGCCCCCGGTGCGCTTTTCTTGGCATCGGTCCGGTGCCCGCTCTCGCATTCCTATTTCTATCCCAATCGAATCTGCCGCTCGATCGTCACAGGCTAGCCGAGAAATAAGCGCGAGAATGTCGCTCGGCTGGCCGACATCGCGCGTACACACTGTATGGGACGCTTGTCGCGGGGCCCGCTTACGAGCCAGCGACGGTCGCTCGACTTTCTCTCGATCCTCCAATAACGTGGTAACGACTGCTTTTTACGATTTTGTTGTCTCTTTAGTTGATTGGCACGGCGATGTTTCAGCGTGTCGAGTGTAACCCGTCGTTTTAATCTCGTCAGGACGCCAGGGGCGGCCTTTTATCGATATCTGGATATTAATAATATCATACTCTTGTTGTAAGTGGGCTTTTCGAGGCGCTAGTCACAAGCGAGCTCATGATAGATCTTGCTCACGGGTCTGCGACCTCGAACTCGGGGTCCACGGGAGTATCACGGCGCCGGGGACCCCACCGCTGCGAGAAACGAGCGATCGCGGCGGCGAGATCCACACGCGAATTCCCCGGGCTTCGATGACTGTATACGAGATGAGATTTCTCAGCAGGACTCGCACAGATCGGCAAGATGCGAGACGACGAGGGTACGCGCCGGAACCCAACACAAGACGTGGGTCTGACGACGGCTGGCGAACGGTGCGCCGACGACTGCGGGGCCGCGACGTCGCGACCTGTTCTTCGGCCGTGCTCCGGCGAACCGCAGTGGCGTACGATGGTGTGAGAGTGAAGGGGGGCCCGTTAATTCGACACTTTGGATACCCGAGAAGATGCGTAATTACGGGACGAATGGTCATTTGAATGTGAACGAGCTACAGCTCAGTCCGGGGAAGAAGAGAGAGGGACACAAGAAGAAGAAGTGGATGAGAGAATGCAGAGAAGGTTACGGTTAGGAATCGCGTTCAACTCGTATGTTTTTTTCGTATACATTATTGTTATGTCTTTTCGTGATTAAACTTGCTCTATCGACGATCGTGGAGAAGCAAAATATTTTTTGGAGAACGATTTGCGAAGAGTAATCGATGAGAGATGATGGGTAGCCAAGTTTCAAGCTCTTCTTCGTGTACGAAACATTTAATGTAACCAATATAATTATATTTTCCGTATCGTAGAAATTGCGTTATCTTTCTTTTGAGAGGTGTACATTTTACTTCTACATTTTCTGAAATAATTAGACCCGCGATACACGTTGAATATCTTTGCGAGGTGCCCCGGGCTCTTAAAGTCAAGAAGACGATGTTAAACTGGTAGTGCCGCCATCGCCGTCGTGAAACCGCGATTGTCGGCCGGAGAAAATGAACCACCAATGGCGTAGGATGTCTTATTTACAATTAATTCATTGGCGCGATGAGCACGAAGCGTCTCGATGAACTTCGGTGCAAATAGATCTTTTTGAGTACAGAAGCAACGAAGTTGTCTATAAATCCACCACGAATCTCGATTTAACCTTCGATCAATTTTTTTTAGATAGCAAATGTGACTTTGTTCTGCATCAGGAGAGAATATTTCCACAATCTGCCTTCTTCAGGGTTTCCAAAATTGATCGGTGGTCTCGCAATTTTACGATGTGATGGACGAGGCCGAGGATCAGCACAGATACAAATACGGAGTCAGCTTGTGCTTCTCGATGATGGGCCGAAGGAAGCTCAAGATCTCGGTAATTACCACCAATTGGCGAATCCTTTAATCGATGAATCTCTTAATAAGCGATTTTCTTCCCACGATTTCCCACGTTTCCCACGTTACGACGCTACGTTTACTTTCGCGCTAGATTCTTAGGTAATTATGACTGATACAAATATAAGTTATGTAATAAGAGTAATAATAAATTTTTCTACAACAGCAATTTAATGGTGGGGTATAAAATGGTACAACACACGCTTATGTCATAATAGAAATGTAATTTTATCCGATTAACGCGTCGCGATGCCCGAGCGTTCTGCGTTTCCAACGACTCGCGATTCCGGCGACTAATTAGCAAATTTCGCCTCTCAAGATGTGTGCAATTAGTACCTCCCCGGAAACGGGTGATGCGACTGCTATTATGCCGACAAGGAGAAAATACTCGGCGATTTCCGGCACTGAAGACTTAAAAAACGTCTCTCTCTCGAAAGAAGATAAGAACGCGCACGTTCGATGCATCCCGACGATACCGTCAAGTTCGATTAATTATCCCAGAAATAACATTTACGAGGGATATGCATTAAGTCAGGATGATTCCTGGCGAAGAACGAGCGACAACGAACACGACGTTATACATTACGGATTTCCTTATTACAGGTTTACTTTAGTTTTCTTGTTCACAAATGCGAACGTAAAAACTCGATTCAGCGTGTGAAAAATTAACGGTGTATTTTCTCACACACATTCTCTCTAATGTTGAAGTAAAGAAGATATGCAATTCAATTACAAGTCGTCAATCTTAATTTATGTACTGTTTATTTTTGACGCTTGATTTCTTCTCTTAAAACGGTATTTTATTCCTCTAAATTTATTAAACATTTACAAATTGTTACTTTTTCTTGCTTGATATAATTAAAGTGGTTAAGATTAAAGTGATATAATTAAAATTGATCGATCGCAGGAGTAACAGAACCAATAGCTTTCAAGACGCCGTGCTGGTGAAGGATGTAGGAGTATCCTGCAAGCTCTTAAATGATAATGTGGATGAACCTGACATACCGATTTCAGGATTTGAGAGTTACCTTGTGAGGCAGCTGAAGCTCGAGTACAATGAGTTGTCGAGCATCACAAAAAAGATAAATGCGTATACCAAGGATATCTTGAACAACTTAGCGTTGAGATACAGAAGAAAGGATCTTGTTCTTCGAAAATTAGTACGTGAAATCAATTCTTGCAACAACTACAAAATTAATGATTACTATTAATTGTTCATCGACGAATTCCTTGCAGCATGTAGCTTCGAAACATGTGATGGCGTCTCAGTATACCGACGAGATGGGAAATCCCTGTTTAAAATTAAGATTTTGCGATAACACGAAGAGGAAACGTCGATCATCGAGGAATGTTTTAAATAACAATTTATCCGAAAAAGAAATTGCCAAGGAGATGCATGGTAACGTAGAGTACAACAAAATTTCATGTTTCTTTATATACGTTTAGTTTATATTTAATAATAAGTAAATAAATAGAAATGTGAATAACTAAAAGTTATAAAATCGCAATGTTGTATTGACATGTACTTTTATCCTCAGAAAAATACGCAAATACCAAAAAGCGACGTGTGCAAGCCGATAAAGCTTTCCCGAAAAGAATTCTCGAACTCTCGCCGAAATGCAGCGGCCTGTTGCTTCGCAATTACCTGTTAATGAAGAGAGAGAAAGTATCCAGCAGCGGCTCAAAGGCGTCCTTACGTAAAGCTGAATATATCGCACTACCCGGTAAACCGTGTAGAGACCGTGGCGTCCATAAATCTCACAGGTCCTTTTACGCGAGCAAATGCGATCCTCTAGTGCTCACTAATTGGAAGGAAGTGTCCAGACGAAAGGAGAATCAATCTAAATCCGCGTGTAACTCTAGCACTTCCGGCGGCTCGCGTTGCACAGTCAATTGCACTTGATTCGCTAATAAGTCGGAGAAAGTTAGATTTTCGAAGATATGTCCGACTAAGTTTTAGAAATATATTTTTTTAGAACTTTCCTAAGATTGTTTTATATCATTTTCATCTTATTTTTATAGTAACTGTTTTTACTTAATATATTGTCGAATAATTTTATTATATATATATATATATATATACAATAAAGTTACAAAAAGTTATAAAAATAATCTCTTTGTCCATGTCATTACATTTTTTGGTATTTAATAATAATAAAATTAATAAATATACATGTATGTAATATGTATGTAATAAGATACTGTACACACTGTGTGTGTAATAAGAAAGATGACAATGATGTTGATGACAATAGTGAATAATAAGGAGGAATAACAACGAAAATTTATATTAATTTTTGGCGCTCTTACAAAGAGAGTCGAGCTTCGAGCTATCGCTCGAGTGTCGATTCGCTGCAATGTATCGTAACGAGAGAAGCAGAAAGAACCATGGGCTGCTCTCTCCATCCACACTTTCTGTACTGAAAACGAAATAGATCCGTATCTTGGATCTGAGATACAAGAGAGAGTGTAGAAAACATTGGACCTCTGGTTTATCCCTAGACGACGAATTCATTATTGATCATGTAGACAGAAACGTTTTTACTTATTTATAAAATAATATACATAACAATTTATATATACGTATTTTATATCAAGATGCGTACCATATCGCATATGTCGAAGATAATTTATTGTAACGGTGTTGTGAAGTTACAAAGAATTTGGTAAAAAGAATTCTTGGCATGTTGCAGGTTAACCTGTAATACATGATACAATCTATATTTGTTATCTGAAATAAAAATTTTACATAATACCTATAGTTCTACGTTTTCTCGTTTTACTGGCCGAAATATGGTTTCGAATTCATGTGAACAAAGAGTTTGGAGAAGTCTCGAGATAGATGACAAGGCATATGTAGTCTGTTTTACAAAAGAAAACGAATCGTGGAAGGTGATTTTGACAGATCTAATAGAGATTTGGACAGAAAATTTGACGTACAAAATCATTCTTTGCAAGTTTGAGGTACTAAAATTAATTATTTCGATTATATGCAATGTTTTACACATTATGTCAATGAAAATAAATTATTTTTAAATAAAACAAACCACACGAAACAAACAGAGACCGGATTTTACTTTGAAAAATTATATCTTGTATCTTTTAACGAATGGACAATTTATATTGCACGTTTAAATATAACGAAATGTATTGCTTTTAGACTTCGAATCGACTCGTGGACTTTTCCAAAGTTTCAAACTGGAAGCAACTGGTAATGGACATGTTAAACGATATTCCCAAACATGTTGTAGAAACTTCCATATCTCAGATAAAACTGCAGAAAGATTGGCACTTTGGAAAGTTGAAATTCTCTCTAGATCTCGTTAAAGGTACACCACAACAGTTTTGGGAATATGTTATGAAGCCATTCTGTTTGTCGTCGATGGAGATAGTTCATCAACATGGGATCTTATTGGACCTGGTGAAGAAGAAGGACGAGGAAATCGCCGAGTACAAAGCAGGCGGAGCGGTGTTACTCAGGAGTATGCATTTTTGCAACATTTGGAGGAAGATTATTAAAGACAATTACTAATGTATATGTGACAGGCTAAGAGATCACTACTTATGCTTCATAGAATATATCGCTACGGAACCGTTCAGCAAAGAATTGTTTCAAGTTGCCGTCCCAGTTGCAACTAACTTTACAAAAATATTCCAGTCGATGTTTAATTCTTCCAATATTACAACTTTGTCGAGAACACAAGTGAAGATAGAGCCTGAAGTATCTTTGAATGATGCAAGGTATAACATAATATGTGTACTATAATGGATGACATAAATAACATTATAAAGCAAAAGGATCTTGTAAAATTTATGATAAATAAACTCATTTATTCGTTTCAGCGACGATATTCCTAGGATCAATGGAAGCGAGACTGCTAGTTCATCTAAGGATGAATCTGTACAGAAGACAAAGCAAGATAAATCCAGTAAAGACGAGAAAAGCGAAGAAAACAAATGCGAAACGAATTCAACTACCGGCGGGTCTTCAATTTTGAAGTTAAGCAGCTCATCTTATAGCATACAGAAGTCTTTGAAAAAGAAGAAGAAAACGTTGAGCGATCTTATACGATAGAAAAATATTCAGCTGTGCATTGTTACTTGTTATTTAATTGTTATTTACATCGTAAATTTAAATTTTACTTCTGGATTTGCTTGAAGGCAAAGCAATTTTATATTCTTGAGGAATGCTACAATTATTTATTAATTATTTGCTGAGGAAAAGCAGAAGAGATATATTTGTACATATGGCTCATATCTACATTACGCTAGACCAAATGTAACGAGATAAAAACAATCAAGTAGTCTCTAGAAAATTTTATATAATATATAATTTTTAATCACTGAAGATTGTACTAAAGTTCAGAATAATAAATAAGCAACAAAAGTAAAAAAAAAATAAAAAACAGGGCTCGTCCGGGATTTGAACCCGGGACCTCTCGCACCCTAAGCGAGAATCATACCCCTAGACCAACGAGCCACGTTGTACATGAGGTTAATTCTACAAACAGTTCAGCTTCGATAACACCGATGATACGCACTTACGCATCAGGTGTTATCTATACTATTAATTACGTGATAATGCTCTCCATGCGTGGCAAGTATGCAACATGGCGGGCAACGGACAGCAAGACTTCAACCGGAGTGCGTTGACGCTCGATCGCGGACGGGTAATCGTTGCTCAGTGCTTTTGATTGTTGAGACTAATGTGTGTCATGATGCGTATAAATCGGTATCGTCGAGTTCGTACACCTCCGGCTGTGTTTTGTCGCTTTTTTTACCGGCGAGGCAAGCAAGCGCGCGTGCTAACTTGGCGGAAGAAAGAAAAGCGTGGGAAAAAGCAAAGAGTGCAGCTAAAGAGAGTAAAGCTTATGTTTATCAAATGACAAAATTTGGTAGTAATCATGTTTTTCTTCCCTAATTTCATCAGTATGCATGAGATATTTTCGCGTGTACAGGATGTACTTAAGGTTCTGCCAGATGTCTTCGTAATGATAAACCTCTAATTAATATTCCGCTCAACCGGGATCTAAAATTTAAATAAGCAACAAGTTCCCGTCGCGTTTCTTTTACAGTTTCACCTCTAGAAGTTTCACGATAAGTTTACGAAAATATCTGAATAAAATTATTACAGAAGTAGGAATTTATTTTGTGAAATCCCAAATTTTTCTAATTTTCGAAATTATCGTTTCTATAGAAGAAATTTATTCCCTTCACATTTTCCATCTTTCTTGTAAATTTTTACTTATTAGTTTGTCGATAATTTAGGCCTGGTACACCGGTCAAAGGGCGGAGAAGATCCCTAACGGATTGGTTGGAGTGGTGGGTCACAATTGCCTCGGACTTGATCTCTCTTATAACGAACTAACCACTGTTTCCTCGGTGAAGAATTTTGAGCAACTTCAAGAACTGATTCTGGACAATAACCAACTTAGCGATCTCAAAACGCTGCCGCGCATGTTGACTTTGACCACGCTGAGCTTGAATAACAACAAGGTTCGAGAAATGTCTTGTATTTTATCTTACGCTTTCCGCTCAAAATAAAGCAAAACGTCCAAAAGACACCGCAAAGATGTATTTGAAAGGCTTTCGCGTAGTTTGTCAATCGAATAATGAGATTCTTTCTTCTTCTGAAGATATCCAACATCGACGGAGCCCTCGACAAAATACAGGAATGCTGTCCCAATGTGGAATACGTGAGTCTTCTGGGCAATCCAGGCTGTCCCGATCAGCTGACCAATCCGATGTCCACCGATGAAGATGATTATGAGCGTTATAGGCTCTACGCGATCCACGTCTTACCTGCAAGTCTGCGCTTCCTAGATTCTAGGGAAATTACTCAAGAGGAAAGACTGAACGCTGAGGCACGTGGCAAATACTCGAGGACAGTAAAATTGGTGCCGGAGCTGATTCGCAAGCAACCCAGCTCAACGGCCGCCAATGAGTTTGACGATCTGTACTTCAATATCCATTATACACCTTTGCCGAATGCGATGCGTAAGCCTCAGGATCACAAAGGTAGGAGCAGCGCGAATCAAGTGAAATCGCAAATATTGCACAACGGTAACAGAATTGACCGATTAAAATATTTGATGGCATTTTCGAGATTGTCTCGATGCCTTGACGAAATTAAATTTAAGACAAAAGAATTAATGGAATATTTAAATTTTAATTATATTCGGAGAGATTAATGGAAATTAGAATTTTAGATTTAGATTTGAATGTTCGATTAAACATGTTAATGCACATGAATTATGTTATTATATTAAAAAGTTGACTAATTCCTTCTTCTTCGAGATAGAACGATTGATACTAATATGATGAATTCTCGTTAGGTGCGTACGGCAAGTGCAAATACCGATATTCCGGCAAAAATTCCGAGGGCAACCGATTCATCTCAAACAATGATCTCTAAACGAGAATCGCCGAACTTGCTTTTAAACGAGGCCTTAAAACATCGAGAAACTATACGCAAAACTATTGTCTAGTCAGGTATGATTAACAATTAAGAATTAAGCAACAAACAATTAACAATTAAGCACAAAGAAGATCTCTCTTTCTGAGATATCATCAAGTATAATGAAGATCATCAAGTAGAATGAAGGTCGTCAATGATTTGCAAGTAGTATTATCGACGTGGAAACATCTCTGAGGATCATGTCATGATAATTGTATCATTGAATTTTTAATAATTTGTATAAAATAAGTGATCGAACCTCCAAATGCCACTCTTTGTAATAATTTTATACACTAAATGTAAGATAACTTTATACATTTTCTAATAATATTCTGTATAATCGAAATATCACTCAATCATTTTTCGGGCAAACTTCCCGATTATTAAATTTACGTTGCAATAATTTATAATTGTTTGTATTTTTCTCCCTTTGAAGAGGCGTATCTGATTGACTTTTATATCTCTTTGGAGACGCTTTATTCCGCGGTGGTTGAAAGCGGTGGTGAAGCTACGAGTAAACGTATAAAATTTTTATTATCATATACACCGACGAGCGACATATAAATAAATGTCTGATTCTATTTATTCAGTAACATTAAACGCTATGTACTAACATATGGTAGAGTAACTTGGAGACTTCATCGGACATAGAAAAACGTAACGGGTTATCATAACAGAATCTCTTCGACCTTTCTATACCTCTATTGGTCCGTAATGCGTACGACATTAATTATCGCAACGACACTAAAATTCAGTATTTCGAGAATGTCGAAGTCATACATATATATATATATATATATATATGTATATATATATATATGTATGTATATGTCTATGTATACATCGGAATTTGTTAATTAATTTAACACGCACGCACTATATGGTCCTGCGAAAAATAGACGAATTAAATACATTCACGGGAATTCACTTTGCGTATTTATAAATTCCTGTGGAGCTCGAGTTTAATTATGTAATTTTGAAATTTCTCTATACTCTCTCGGAGAGTCATTATTATCTATTCTGTTTGAATGCCGTTTGTGAAAGAAATAACAAATAAAAAAGAAATCATTTCTCTCAGTCGGGGATATAAGTAGAAATAAATTTTCCTTTTTCCTTTTTATGGTATTTCTATCGCATATTGATAACGACATTATTGATAAGACAACAAAAGATAGAAAGAAATTCGAAAATTTTCAAGAATCGAAATTCACAATCTCAGGAATTGATGTAATTACGCAGAAACAAATTCCGTCGTAATTGACACAGGTTGCCAATTAACGTTAGATCAATCCGTCTATTTTCTCCCGGAGAACTCTATATACGCTACCGTGCACCACTCGAATCTCTACAAAACATACGTTAAAGGCAGTATTTTTTCCTTCGTTAACCCTGTTTGTAGGAAGAGTCTTACTATCTAAGTATACGCGACGTTACACAATCGTATGCAAACAATCGAAGGCTGTTATAACTAGTCGATTAAGTACGAAGTACGTCAGTTCGGCCCTTCGATTCATTCTGGAACACTCGTGTCGTCGATTCGTGCTTGCACCGCGATTCAGCGACGTGTTTAGCGCTAAACGCGACTGCTCGTACGTGCGTAACGCCACATGCAAATATCGGACCCGAGAATAGTCGCCGAATTTAACGCTGAGCAACAAGCGAGAGGTGGATCACGCGACGTACGTCATCAGCTCCTTAGCGCTAAACGCGCGCCGCAAATATGGGAGCTTCTCTCTACGATCGTCTTGAAATCGTCGAAAAAAAGACAATGCAGAGACCCAAACGAGCCTCCGGCCTTAAAATGGATCTTGGATGAAAGACGAGTTTCTTTTTCGGGGATTTTTCAGCGACGACGATAATACTCGCACGTATACGTATAGATATATGTATAAATATAACGTCAATACGAGAGAATATGTGTGTGTATGTGTTCGTACAAACTGATGGGTGGAAGCGGTCATATTTAAATCCCTTAAATACACCGTTCCTTCGCTCGTCATCGCTCGTTTCCTATTGTACACACTGGAAGCATCTTTCTCTCTCCAAGAAAGGAAAGTGTCCACACAACGCTGTTTGCGTACCAAACGCCGACGTCTCTGCTGCTCGTCATCTCGTCCGATTTGTTCGGTAAATAAAACGGAGAGAAAAGCGAGCGGTCGAATGGGAGATTCGTCCTATTTTCCGGAAAGAATCATGTTATCCGTTTCTCCGGTGCGCAATTGAATCAATGATATTGCAATCTCTTGGGTGTTCGATCAAGTATTAAAATTTATCATTGGGGTCAATTTTTTCAAAAGAGAAAAAGATCAGAAATTGTTCCAAAATCGTGGACGTAAAAGAAGAAAAGATACAACACGATTCCTTCGTCCGCTCGCCTCTTTCGGTTTTTTACGGAACTCTTGCACATATCCGTACTACAAATTGATATATCACATGATATTTCTACAATTTGACTAATTTTTAGACGCGCGTCGTTACCACAACGTCGAATTAATTTATATATTGCACTTCTTCCTTTCTCGCGAAGACTTTTGGCTAAAGATTTTTTCCATTATCCTTTCGCCGTCGAGGATTGATTTCCGGGAACAATCGTTATTTCTCTGAGGTAGAATTTCGCGCAAACCTTCGAAGATACAACTTCGTGATTCAACGTTTGAAAGTCGGCGAGAGTTAAGCTACGAGAATTTTTCGTTTCTAGCATATTTGGTACGATACCGATAATCTTCTCACCGGCTGTTTGGACGGACGCACCTCTGCTTTTACTGTTATGTCGTTTTGGGTTCTTTTCTTAACAACGACATAATCCTTTCGAGAATGTCGTCGCTATTGCACGTATTCTCACGGCGTTCCACATATCGCGTATCCACATATCAGAACTTATCGCGCTATAATGAGGAGAAATAACAGGTGTGACAAGAGAATGAGAAGTAGCTTGGAAACAAAGAAGACACATTTCAAAAATTATTTGAAAATGACGCACGATTAATTAATCTCTGTTGGTTACGAAGATAAAATATAGACGATGGTCATTCCCAAACGAAACAAATAACAACGAAGGTAAATGTGAAATGTACTTAATAATGTAACTTCATCATGAAAAATATCGATAGACGCGCGCGTTAATTGCGTTACAATTCTTAGTGTTTGGCACGTCGATCATATTAGTGTCGTTGTTACGAAGCCTGGCTTTGAAAGCCTGGCTTTGAAAGCCTGTGCGTAAGAAACTACGAGTGCGAGGAGCAAACAAACGGAAAATAGGATAGTGGCCGTTTTACGGGAAAAAACATAATTATTAATTAAAAAAAAAAAAGTACTACCATTTTCTCATAATCTGCCTCCAAATATAAAAGTCGATCTTGTAAAATAATAATTCTTGCGTAAATTTATGTATGATTAAAGTAAATCTAGATTTTTTTTCATTTCTGCGAATATGTTACGCGAATATGCTTCACGTACAAAATAATAAACTTTTATCATTGCTGAGCGAAGGGAAGAAAATCACGCAGACGAAAAACAACTATCTTTTACTTCATAGTGGTGTACTAATGCAAACTTTTGTTTTATATTATCGGTGTGACGCGTTTTACTTTTTGTGTTACACTTACGTGTATTACTTTTTGGAATAATCGCGATGCAACAATAGTATAAAAAGAGAAACCAAAGAAGCGAGATTATGAGAAGCCTATCACGAACGACTCGTTGGGAAAGCTTCTACGTTGAAATCGAAAACTATGATTCATAATACGGTAAATCCGTATAAGATGTAACGTAAAAGCGGGAATAAATGAAGAAGACTCATCAGTGCATACGAGTGTTATACAGAGTGCGAAAGCATTGCAGGGAACAACGAAATGACGTACATCCCTTCGACCCGTCGAGTTAAGGATCGCCGTCTTCGTCGATAGTTCCATCGACGTCGACGGGCCGGAAGTTCGCCGGAACGGTACGGAATTCTCGGTCGTGCCGGTTTTGAGAAGGACCGGACGATAGTCCGCGTCGCTCCCGAAGGCACTGATTTTCGTTTCGCGAATTTGCCGCGTTTTGGGGACGCACGCGACGCTTCTGGAACTATATACATGTATGCAACGATACTTGGACTAAATCGTCGTCTTTGAAACGAGTCTCCTGCGGAAGAGGAAACGAGAGGACTGTGAAGCGCGCCGTTCACGCCCGACGTCGTCGTGCGGCGTCGTCCTTAAGAGCCGTTATTCTTGCCGTGATTGTGCAGATTCGGCCTCAAGGTCACCGCACCTTCCACCCAGAAGTTCGGCCTCTCGAGCATGTTCTGCCACAGAGAGAGTTCACGACCGGTCGCGTCCATCCAGTCCACCGGTTTTCCGTAATGCTTCCCTGAAACGCAGAATGCGTGAAGTTCTCGCACACATACACGTATTATTGCAGGAAAGTGATGTGAATTTCAAACGCTGGAATAAATACGAAATTATATCTTATCTTATGAACCGACTGACAATTTTGAGCGACTAAGGTTGTATGATTTATATAGACTGGTATTTGGATTTACGTACCGGTGCCAAGATTGAACCGAACACCGCCCAAGAATTCGTTGCTGGCGATCCTGTCGTGATCCCAAACGGTCAGCTCTAACCCGCGCTCTGCTAATTCCTGCAGACTGACGTCCTTGTATATGAACGTGTGTCCCCAAACTGGTGAGCCGCCCGATCTGCGTACCACGCCGGTCTTCTGTTTGCCGGATCGGCCTTTGTCGGGTAGCAAATAACTGAAGCAGATTGCACGAAACGTATTGAGATTTTCCGGACACCGGAAACGGTCAATCAAAACTACTCGTTTGTCGCGCAAAAGATGCGCTGCCAATTACATAAATTGTATTTTCTATAGTTACGTCTCAGAGGAAATAGAGCAGAACATATGCATGTTAATCGGTTGGACGGAAAATACCTTTTGCAGAAAGGATCGCAGGTGCCAGAGTTCTTGGCGCGCGTTTGCAGATTCCTGGCCTCCTTGACGAGCACGTGGAGTGCTCCGCGGCTCCAGTTTTTCTTCGCCTTGGAACTGCTGCGATGCTCGGCACCGTTTTCCCGGTCGCGGTCTTGCTGCGTCGGATCCGGCGGCACGAATTTCAGGCCGACTATCACTTCCCCTTTGTAAGCGACCGGATCGTCGAACGGTTCCGTCTACGAGCGATTGTTACGTGTGGGTGATTCATGCGTTTCCTTTCCTCTCTTTCAGAGCGACGTCGATGAAATTGCGAAAAAAAATCTTGCGAAGACCGCGAGTAAGATTAGTTAACGTTCGACGTTGTTCGTAAGTAAATTATTGTACTCGTAATCGTACGGGTAAAAAAGTTTTTTTCGAACGAAATACGTGTGAAATTTCGTATATTAATATTAATATTAATATTACATTAAAAACCTCCGAAATTCTGATTTTCCATAATTAAGTATTTTAATATCTCTCTACAACGATATATCGCGTATTCTACGCGTCGTAAACTTACACGTAAACATGCGCGAGCGATATGAGCGCGTAGCGCGCGGAAAATCAAGAGGAATGCTGTTTGTTTCATGTTTCTACTTCAAGTTTTCATCGAGATACGGCCGTCGGAACAGTTTGAAATTTTTAGCGGGAGCGCGCGAGCCTTTGCCGCCAAGACCGGCGGAAGCACGCCTAGTACATTGTAACGTATTCGCGCCTCGGACTTCACACCTCTCGGCGGCGCGTTCGCTCAAAGGAGCGGCACGCAACATTGTAGGCGGTCTTACTTAGTTCACTGTCAAAGGATTCGCCGCTCGTCGATATCTTCATGTAGAGAAGTCGTAGCGACGTGGGAAATTGCATTCGAAAGCTAAGATTGTACCGTTACTGATGAGAGGACGACCTCGCGGTGTACTAATATATCTGTTTATTTTCTAAAATTTTTCTAGCTAAATTCTTTACCTAAAATTTTGTAAATGTAAATTCAATTCTTCAATCAATTTCTTTTTGCGCTGAAGATATGTCTGGGATAAATCACAACTAATGGACTAGTCTTTGATTAATGAAAGAGTTGCTTAAAATATCGTTTCGATACTTCATATCTAAGACGCATATCATGTCTACTTACGAATACCACGAATACACTTTACCATTCACATGCGCTCGAAAATATTGAAAGCATAATTAGAGATCACAGCTTGCGCCTCAAACGACAGAAAAAAAATTATAAATTTTTGCTAAATGCATGGTCGTGCGATCAGCTGAATGCATAGAGACGTCCAATAGACTTACTTCATCTCGCCGACGACATTATAACTCGGAGATTTCGGAGCAACGTTCCTCGTTGTTTCCCGAAATTTTCACCGAGGAAAAACCAATTGCGCATTCTCACTATTATTTATCGTCTGATATCGCACGGATTATATAAGAAGAAGAACTTACTCTCTCCTGAAGAGGATACCAATGTGGCGTCGGATCGTCGAATATCTTGTTCTCCAGCGGCATCCGTACCTCGCCGAGGAAGTCATTGCGACCGAACATGTCCGAATGCCAGACTGTCAGCCACAGTGTCCTGGTTTCCAGGCCGCTCAGGCTCATATGGAACTAAAATCGCGCGTTGACGAACTACTATCTCTGATCGTCATGCAAACGAGCAGCGGAACGTTCAGGCCGACGTTCGCGTCGACGGACTCACCTTCAGGGTTTCGTTGAACTCCGGGTTTAATGTGTGCTTCTTCACCTTCGTCTTCCTCTTTCCGCTCTTCGACTTGTCTGGCAACAGATATACCTTGACGTATCTGGAAAAAAACATGGAAGATTATAAATATTATCAAGTTTGTAAATTAACTTTGTTCGAATCGATTTGATTAGAGCACATTTTCTTCGTGCTGCACATTTCTTTCTTCTTTATAAAAAATGAGCGCATGAATATATAGAGTTGTTTAGTTAGCGCGTTAATATTTATTTAATTAATCATCTAGATCTTGAGATGTTCCCTAAGCTTCCTTTGTGGAAAGAAAATCTGCAAAACACAATTTAATCGTCGATCATATCGACGTTGAGCGAAATTACCTATCGGTATTATTGGCGTCGAGTTGCATTATCGAAGATATATCCACAATTGCACGTTATCTTCTCCACGTTTAATACACGATTACAAAGTCTACGAAATGGAAAGTCTCGCTTAAAATTACTGATCGTTATATCTTGATTACAGTCTCGCCGATAGATTACCGTTATAATAAATCGATCTTATCGAAATGGGAAATAACACTTTAACTTTTTTTCCTCCCACGAATATTAATTAAATACCGACGTAACTGTGTTTACACACAGATTTCGTTCGCAGGCTATTCATTAGAACCCGCGCGAGTGCCAAGTACTGAAATTATAAGTTGTGGAATGAATGAAAATCTATCTATCAAGCATCAAATATGACGAAAATAATGACGCTGAAGATGCTGTTGGGAAGAGAAACTTGCCCAGAGAACACTTACGGATCCGATCGTTTGCGCTTCACGTCTACCGGCGCGAGGTTCTTGCACTTCGTCACGTGCACTTCGAAGGTCAGGTGTTTGTAGTCGTACTGCAGGGCGAACTCCACCTCACCGGTGACGACCACGGATCGGCAACAACGTCCCTCACCCGCGCCGCTATACACCGACGCCATCGAGTCCGAGCGTGCCTAGAATCGCAGACGCGAAGATTAGAGTCGTAAAGACGAAGAACGGCGATTTCAGGGTCGTAAATCCGGTGTAGCGCTCCTACGCGATGTCTGTTCCTTATCGCGTTACATCTTGGCGAGACGTAACAGCATGCACATTATATTACAACACAAATGAAATTTTCTCACGACGAAACGAAAGTGAAGAATACGAGGCGTTTGAGCGAAGAAATTTATTGCGACGAAGATTCGTCTCGGCGAAAGCGAATTTTACAACTCCTCGCTGCTAGAATCGCTCCGAGTCTCAGCAAGATGTATTTATTTCCGCGTCAATTTTCGCGAGAACTCTCGAACTTGACTTGTGTAATTTTTTAAAGTAAATAATTCATTATTATGTGGATTATCTGTGACGACTGACTATCCCCGGTAATTATCGGCACGAGAATTTTCTCGTGCACCGATTTCATAGTTCATCAGTTTCAACGCATACCCCGAGGCTCGACAAAGAGGCACGAGTAGCAAGATGACCGGGATGCAATCCTGGATCCATGTCGTCCATGTCCATGACTGTGTGACTAGAGCCTGCTCGTGATCCTGCTCCGATAATTGGCGTGCTGCATGCCTCCGACAAACTGCCTCCGTCGTCTATGACATCATGAGGAAGCTTAAGTTATTCAAACTGACTCAGAGAGAAGACGCGTACCGAGAGAGAATAATGAATGAACGAATAAACAGGCAATTTTCATGAGTCAGATTTTTCAAAACTTCATCGTACAACAAATTAAGTACTATTTCAGTGTATCTCGGTAGAAAATAATTTACTTATCATTTTATCAACTCGCGATCCGTAAACCGTTCAGAGGAGCTTATCGTTACAACCGCCAACTCTTCGACTTACAAATTACCTCGAAACGACCGCTCTGTTAATGACGAGGGTTTTTTTTTTTTCATTCATTCGGCTTATGTGAAGATAATACCGTCTAAGTTTTTTTAAAGCATTTCCGTATATATAATATAATATAATATAATATAATATATATAATATAATCTCCCCCGATTTGTGGATCGCTCGAAAGCACTTTTCGACTAACAAGTTATTATCAACTCAGGGATATTTAACGCGGGCGCCCTTTCCTGGCCGTATCGCTTCGAGCACTTGCTGAAGACGCTGGAAGCGTATCCTATCTCGGAATCGCCCTTCGATGTTTTCTTCTCGTCGTCCATCGGCGGCTTCTCTTTCTTCGGGAGATCCGGCAGGCTGCCGATCACGCGTCTCATCCCGCTCAGAGTGCCGCAGGACAAGGATTTGCCCCCGAAACCCGAGTTATCGATCGCGTCGTCCTCGCGGCTTATCAGCGAGGCCTCCTCGCTGTTGGCAACGTTCTGCGCGGAGGCCTCGTCATCCTTCGAAACATCGTAGTCGCTCCTCGTCAGTGGAATCTCCTCCAGCGCGAGTTCCTTCCGCTTCACTGAATCGATCGACAAAGTCTCTGTCGACTCATCGATGGTCTCCAGGTACTTCGTCCTGTTCGTTCCGTTCCTGCCGGTCCTGCCGTTCGACCCCGGCGCCGACGAGGTGCGGACTGACTTCTGTCGTTTGTAACAAGAACCGCAACAGCATCCCAGAAGCAGCCAGTTCGAAGTGAGAGGTCGCATCATTTTTCCAGCTGTCCAGGAGTCGCCAGGATTAAAAGTCGAGTAACGAGTGCCTTTAGTCATCGCAATGGCCGCCTTTCATCATCGACTTCGAACTTCCGACGATTTCTTTCGCTTCTCGCGATTAGATCATTACTCGTTGTCGCTTCTATCGCCGATCTGTATTTTGGAGCGAGTTAATGACGGATAACGTATCTCTACTGGACTCGACCGAAAATAATGTGGCGTTCGCTCTCAACCGACCGGTTTTAATGAGAGCTGCATCTCATGCCGATGTTCCTCGTTCTAAATTGATAAGGAAATAACGTGGCGTCTTCGAGAAGTTATAAGCGAAGATAGTAACGACACTCTCAGAAATTCCAGCTTGATGCTTTCGTCGATATTCTGCAGCGGTTCATATAAATGAAACGAAGAACTGCTGCGCGCTTCCTCACTCTAAAGCGCGATAAAGAGGCACGATACGAAACGAGATGTTGCACTGACAAACTCGTTCGCTCGACTGCTCGACTCCTCTGGCGAACGGAACAAGGGCGACGATAATTCTGATTTTCGCTTCCTGCCTTTCAGGACGATAGCGTGTCAGCATCTGTATTCAAGGTCCAGTATCTGGCAGGGAGTGATAACGTGCGATAATAGTACGCGAGACTACTATTATTAACAACGATATAACTTCTATTTTCTTCTCTTCTCCCGGGCGTGAACGTTTCACGCGAAAGAAGCACGAAGAATTGCGAGAAGAGCGTTGATGCGAAAATATTTTTCGATCCGAAGAAGAACTGGGAGGAATTGTTAACAGGTATATATAATAATAACATAGAACATAGTCGGGTTTTATCGTTCTCTATCGTTGTATCAAGCGATTTTACTCGAAGAGACTTTCTCGCAATTATTTATTTAAGATTTTCAAGAAGGATTCTACAACGAGGCACGTGTGAGAGATTAAGACGCCTCTTTACGCGAGCCTCCCGGGACTCAGGGAGCGATACCCTGATTTCCTCACGTCCCGCGGGAATATGTTCTGAATTAAACGACACGTCGCAAATTTTAACTCGCAGGGGGAACGAGGGCGTCGCGCGAGGAAGATATCTAAGGCTCGATCCACACTATCCATCCGCTCACGCTCAGGTCGCGCTCCGATCAAATATTTTTCCACTGTTTATAACGCACGTATTCATATTATCGGTAACGTTCAAGTTTCGGTCCGATCTCGCTCCAGTAACGATCCTTCGAAGGAACATTTTGCCGGAGTGTGATCGAAGTTGTCCGGAGTCGTACCGATAATGTAAACAGATTTTCGATCAATCCACCGTCAGTTCTCGCAGACTCGCAATTCTCGTGGCTCTCAAGCAGCATCAAATAACAATAATAAGAATAAGAAAATATGAATAAAGAAAAATCGTGGTCCATTTGAAAAAGGCACGTATATATGTATATCGTGTTATAATTAGAAATTAATTCTGAACATATATAGGAAAATATGATAAAATATTAATGTTTCTTACAAAAGAGAGCAAATAAGAGCTGACGCCGCGATGTTCAAGGGAAATGTTTAGGCAGAAACTACACTGATCGTCTGGGATAGAACCGATAGAGCGGATCGATGAGTGATTCAATAGTGTGAACATTTTAGAAATACAATCGGATCGTGAGCGGAGCGCGATCGGACCGTGAACGAACCGATAGTGTGGATCGGGCCTAAACGAACGTTGCGACGCGCGTCCGTGCGTTCCACCTGCGGCGTTCGTGCGCGGGATAAACACGGCGCGTCGCGCGTCGCGCGTTGCGCTGAGTAACGTCAAAGTAACGAGCAATTAAACGTTAGATAACGTTTGTTCGAGAGCCACGTGACACCTCGGCGCACGATGCGTCCTAATCGCGGCCGCGCGATGAACGCGCGCTTCGCGACTCGCACGGCGCGCGGCGACGTAACGGATGCGCGGGATCGCTTCGCGACTTTTGCAAACGGGTTTAGGCGAATGTGTGTCAAGGTGAACGGTATCGAGGTATCTCCGCGGCGAGAAAAATGACTTTCATGCGTCGCGCGCGCGTCTATCTACGTTACACGCCGTGCGTGCATGCGCGCGTTCGCGCGCTCGCTTCATCAGGCCGCGCGACGTGTAAAGTCGGAAATTCCATCGCGACGCGGATGTGACCGGAGAGACACGTCTTTCTGCCGTGCAGCCGCGATATCGATCGTGATGTCGGTCGCCCGCGGCCAACGGAGGGATAACCGTCTCTCATTCGAGAATCGTCCCTTCAACTTTCCGCCTCTGCCGAGAAGAGGCGGTAATTACGTATAATCATTTATTACTCCCCCTCCCCCCAAAGCTTGTCGTTATCTCATGGATCACGACAGACGAATCTAATCTCTCACTCTTCGCTCTCATGTGTCCACGCGTCTGATGGTCCGATTTGTCACAGACGTCGTCCAAATCAGGAGTCCCGCTCTAAAGTGCATCCGCGAGTCCGCGAGTCTAAAGTTTCGCGACACCAGACGAGTTGGGCTAATTGGATCACTCGTTGCTGGCGGGCGCGAGTAGTTGCGCGTCTGCGTCTCGTTAAGGAATTTCGCCACTTTCCGATTGTCCCGGCCGGTAATTTTGACCCGTCTCTCGCCAGCGGTTCCCACCGCGTGCGAGAGCGCAACGAACGGGAAACGTAACAATCAACTATTAACGCGTGCGTATTCGCGCGCGTGAATAACGTATCCGGGACGTAGTACGCATCGAGAGCGCGGGCGAAAGTTCCGCCGCGCCTACGCTTCATCGAAATGAGAACCGTAGATCAATTGTCTGGCGGAGAACAATGTGAAAGGGCGAGCGAGTGAATCAATTATCGGCCACAGGGGTGATTTTCCGACGTTAGGATTGCGGCACCAAGCAGTTTATCGATGTCAATAGATGTTAACGCTCGCGTACTCCAAGCTCGCGCGAAATCGGTCGATCGGGAGGGAAACCTTCGACGTTGGATAATACACGCTAACGAACGCTTTTGCTTAACTCCGCCCGCGTAGGGAAAAAGGAAGCGCCTTTGCGTGATCGTCGCTTCCGTTCAAACTCGCGTTAGCCGCGCGCGGCTGGTCCCACTTGGTTTACCTTTCCTTTAGAAAACGACGTGTTGCGTATTCCGCGAATAATTAAATTACTCACTATACCGGAGTTGTACCTGCGTCGCTGTACCTGTGTGGGGAACCGCGTGGGGAGGGAGCGATATCGCGGACTCGGCGCGCCGCGCCGGTATGTTTCACCGCGAGCGTAGCCTGCGCATTCGCAATTATCGGATTACTCTATCGAAGCATGGATATCGTTGTATTACGGTAACACGAAGGAGTACCGCCACGCTCAGCGTTGTTTTCGCGTAATAACACGACGTGCTGCTGTGTGTCGTAAGTCTCGTTAGCCGCAATCATGCCCGCAGTCAGTCTTCGACACGTGTCCGACTGTCTCTCGTTCCTACGAAGCGGCGATAAAAAGGATTCATAATTTATGAGAGACGCCTTTTTCTCCAATCGATCACGCGGTCGGAATTTATCTCAACGCTGGTCGCAGCGTGACTTATCCGTATGAACTCATTAGCGGCCGGCGTCGATGTGGATCGCAGTCGTAGAAATCCGAGAGATACGCGACGGGCAGCACAGCCTAACATCGTGCTTCACGGTTGTCAGCCGAAGAACCGTTTCTGCCAATCGCGCAAAAAGCTTGACACGCATTCCAAATCGCGTCTGTGGCGGTTCAACAGCGTTCGCGGCTCTCTCTCTCTCTCTCTCTCTCTCTCTCTCTCTCTCTCTCTCTCTCTCGATACCGGCTCGACGCTCCTTCCGAATTCTTGCCCGCAGCCCGAATCCCTCCGTACTTTCCGACCGTCTTGAGAATGAGACTCCACATACGAAAACGTGAGAAGGAGGAATAGTCGAAACTTTCCCACGATGATTGGTTTGGTCAACAAGTTGAGAGAAGCTTTTTCGAAAATCAATTCAAATCTTCATAGCT